ATTAACCTTTATTAATAAAACATCAACTGTGATGTTGTTTATGTTATTAATCAACAAGAATTTCTAGTTCTTGTCTATCATTCTAATTGACTACCTCGCATTTACGCTGTACAAGAATAAGGTAGTCTATAGATTTATTATCATACAATATACATATAAATTTGCAGAGTAACCATTATATCCTGCGATGCATGAAGAAACTGATGCACTTTCTAATGAACGGGCGGTTCCAGATCACATGAACTGTGTCAGGAAACATGACACGACGTCTAATGTCTCCATAGAATATAGGGACGTGAGTATTTGTTATTATATTGATAAAAACGCATGTCAAAATTAGACGAAATGTATTTATGAAGCAACTGACTCAAAAATTTCAGATCTAGTATCTAAATGTTAAGCATAGAATATTTGAGTCTGGTGTTTTTTTTAAGGGGGAAAATCATGTAATGTGTGCTCCCGCCTGGGTGAGGCGGGATGTGTCAGACTCTTACTGACTAAAAACCACCCCGTTCCTTCTCCTGCACGTCGAGCCGGAGCCCCGGTTACCCGTTAGCTTCTCCACGACTCCGAATCGGCTGAGTCTGGTGTTAGGCAGCATTACGCATCGCGAGTACGCATCGCAAGTACGCATCTCTAAAAAACTTTGCCTACATAGTCAACAAAATCGGCCGTCATACATTTCTTAACGCTTGTGTAATTTCTTAAATAACAAAAAACTGAAATAATTAATTTTTACATAGCCATAATGTCCTTATTTCCAAAAGTTATATGTGTATGCATTATGTAAGTAATGTATGACTACTACTGACTCTATTATACAAATATGATAATATTCCATACAAGTCTGTATACACTGCGAGCGGCGACAATTACAAAATGAAGTGTATATAATTATATATGCAAGTGTATGGAAAAAAGAAGCTTAGAGAATTATACACAAGAATTGAAGAACTGCATCAACGTTGTTATGCAATATTGTTGTTTATTTACATTATAACATAAGGATTGAATTCTTAATTTGTCTTTCAAATTAATCTTTTTAAGAGGGCATTCAACCACAGATAAAGTAAATAGGTAGTGTTTTTTAATATATTAGTTTTTTTTTTAGTTGTAATAGATACAACTCGTTACCCTTTACATTATAGAGGTCTAATTGGCAATTAAACGTTTACCTATATTATTCCATAGTGTTAAATTTTCTGTATATATATTTTAAAGGAATTATTTGAATACATTGACACAGTCCCTCAACAGTATAGTATACAGGTTCAATATGAAAACGAGACTTCAGGGCGAGAAACTGTCCAAGCAATCAAGCTTATTTACTGCAATTTGAGTCTTAATGCTTTTAACATAGTTTGCACTTTTCCCCGAAGTTCCATCTTAAATGCCACCCTGTATGTATATTTATAATATAATGATATATAAGAATAATAATTACACGTCATTGCGTACCTAGCTACTAACAACAGAGTTTGAGCTACTTATGTATGTGTATTATATAATAATATATAATATAAATCGTATCTAACTATTGCTAACTAACATGAGAAGGCGTTCAGTCTACTGTTCACTTATTGGCAGTGTTATGTGGTACATTTAGTTGACAGGCACCGTTACCACAGAGTAAAAAGCGCGGCCATTTTGTTTTAGGAAAGAAAGAGGTTGATTTCCCAGTTTATAATCGCTATATCTGGCCGTTTAGAACAGCTTTTTATTTTTTATTTTGTTGAATGCAATTTTTGTGTATAAAATACATTGGAAATAATTTGTTGTATATATAATGTGTGGCGCTTTTAAGCTACGACCTTAGACATAGGTCATTGTCAAAGTGATTTCAATTTTAATATTTTTTTATTATAATTCAAATTTCAATGTCCTTGTGTTTAAGGTATTTTATTGTATGACGTCCATATTACAAGTTGTGACGCGTGAAGTCCTGAATTATATTAGATTTACATTTCCTATAATATCAATCAAATTTTATAACTTTATTATTTTAAAGGTTGCATTGACGTCGATTGCTTAAAATTGCACACGTCAAGGTATAGTTTCCGTATTACTTCATCATCATCATCAACAGCCTATAAATGCCCACTGCTGAGCAAAGCCTCTTCTCACACGGAGAAGGTTAGAGCATTAATCACCACGCTTGCTCAATGCGGGTTGGCGATTTCAAACTTATAATTAGAAATTATAAGTTCAGGTTTCCTCACGATGTTTTTCCTTCACCGTTTGTTAGTGGTGTCTAAATAATCTTAGAAAGTACATATAACTCGGAAAAAGTCACATTGGTACTTGCCGTTGGTAGGTTTCGAACCCGCACCCTCATGCATGAGAAGTGGGCGTCTTAAACCTCCGGGCCACCACGACACGTATTACTTATCAATTACTATATTTGAATGTTTTATTTTTAGCAATAAAGTGTTTAATAATGTAATTTAATTAATTTAAAATCAAAAGACTAAGTTATGTGACCTTTATATGAAATAAGCCGTTGGTAGGTTTCGAACCCGCACCCTCATGCATGAGAAGTGGGCGTCTTAAACCTCCGGGCCACCACGACACGTATTACTTATCAATTACTATATTTGAATGTTTTATTTTTAGCAATAAAGTGTTTAATAATGTAATTTAGTTAATTTAAAATCAAAAGACTAAGTTATGTGACCTTTATATGAAATAAAAATTATTTTAAGTTATGGAGGTCCATCCTTATTGCTAAATATTAATTAGCTCTCTATTTTTATCTAATGAAATCAATTATTATTTTTATATTTGAATAAAGAGACTATCTATTCATCAGTTGATTATAAAACCAGAAATTTATACGCAAAAAAATTAAAAGCTAAATCAAAAATTTATTGAGCAAGAAACATTGAATTATTTTAATTAGTATTATAAGGTTTGTGAGACATACTAAATTAATTAGCAGGTCACGTTATTTGCAAAACTAAAAACCGAAATTTTATTAATTACAAAAACTACTTTTCCATACTACACTTACTAGGGACTTTTACAAATGAATGCACATACAAAATTGACCTATTAATCCGATCCAAGGGATCAGTGTCACAACCGCGGCATTCAGATCAAATTACAGACTTCAAGCGCCACAACAAAGTACTATATTTCGAGCTAATGTCTAGACTGTTAATAATCTGTGGTTTAACGGTACCTTAGTTTTTAAAACATTTGAGTAAAGGCCACACAAAGGTAAATATTTGGTGTTACTTGTTTATTAACTTCTTGCGGTCGATTTTTTTTGTATTGGGATTGGAGTCAATTAACATATGATTATTGTTTCATTTATCAGATATATTGGATATTAGTATATTATAAACATAAAACCAGTAGGATGTTATAATAAGAAATTAGTTAACATAACCAATGAACTGAAAACAAACATCTAATTCGTTTTAAATTAATGCACTTTGACAAGTAACCACAAAGTTAATTATAGTTTTTTAATTATCTGCTACCTGGAAGTCATAACCGACTGGTTTTGCTCAACCACAAGAAGAAAAAATAAAATAGCTTTTACATGTAAGGAAATAAAGTTGATAATTGGTACAGAAGAAATCAACCGCAAAAATGTTATATTTTTCGGGCTATCTTATTTATCTATTGAGTGGCCTAGTGTGATATGTTTTATTATTCGAGGTGAAGGCAAATTGAGAACTGTCTTTTGTGGCTTTCCGATCATTAAATATACCGTAATGTTAATGAAGTTACACAGGGTGTCATTGAAATCGTCAAAAATGAACTAAGGTTCGAATAATGCTACTAATTATCATTCGCAAGTCAAAAATAATTCATTGCGCTTACTAGCATAAGTTTTTGGTTAGCGCAATAGTTGCCATAATACACTACTGAGTACCGTTAGCCGAATTCTAGTTTCAAACATCAACGATTTCAATTACATCCTGTAAAATCCGCCGTTTTGGTATGGCTTAAATGTATATGCTTATAATAGTAACAATTTCCGCATAACTGAGATATTTCTGAACTAGATTTAAGATAATTTTTTTAGATTTTTTCTCAAACTGTTTTTGAATAATCGTCAGTGCATTATATTATGTGTTTGGAGAGCATTTTCCTTTATTATCAGAAACATGTTTAATATTAATGACTTACCTGTATTAATTGTTAAGGCTATGTATAAATTGGAGTTAACGGGCATGCAATAACAGTATGATTATACTTAATAATAAAACATTAAATTTTCGACAATATTTTTGACCATAGTTTGCGATGAGACATTAACGCTCGTATACTGAAAGGCTACTAATATTAAATTGTAATAAATATCGTGCCGTCTCCGTCATTTTACAAAGAATTTGTAGAGACAGAACTATTCTTAACCCGTCGTGTGTCTAAGCGTGGATCCACGCGAGACATAGTGTATTTTCTATTGTCTCATATCGGTGCATTCGAGCGATTAAACACGACTTAAAATTGAGTAGCCTTCAATATTCGCGCGTAACTTAAGTTTTAAAATCTACGAGAGGTTTTAAAATCTACGAGAGGTTTTAAAACTTCTTTGTCTATTGTCTCATTATATTTTCGAGAAACTATATAAAAAAATATTATCAAAAAACTGAATATTTACATTCCAGCTTCAAATCAGCGATGCAATCTAGATATATGAAACCCAATCAATTTCACAATCAAAATTCCGTACTATTAGTAATTAGGAGATCATAAAACCATTTTGTTTTAACGACATACTTTGATGACAGAGGTCTCATTATCAAAATTGCAGTGTGACTAATCTGAGAGTAACTTCCACTATTTCATTTAATAGAAATGGGCATATTCACATAAAATGTTCACAACTGTAGTAGCAATAACTTAGGTCTAAAATATAATAAGGCATATTCGTTTATAATAAAACATTCATATCGATCGACGTTATATTATATCGTGTATATTTCACTAGAGCGTTCCGACGAGTGCTAATTATTTAGTCTATAGTCTATTCGGTTAATATCTGTAAATGTAGGCTACTGTGCTTTATAGGGATTCCTTACGATCGCTAATTTACTATAACTCGAGTGTTACATCCATAATTTGTTCCGAAGTTTGTATAATCAGGGGCAAATAAACCATTATCATTCAATACAAGACAGCATGAGGTAGCGAGAAGTTATACAAAAAACTTAAAAGCGAGTTTACCTTTATTACGAACATATGACAATATAATACTGCTAAGCCTATGATTTAAATTATAAACCCAGTAACAACATCCAATCGAAAATTCGAATCGATAATCGATTAAAGAATATTGTCACACAAATCGCGAACGAGATGAAATCAATGTGCAAACAATGTTTTCACTAATTACACCTACGCTTATAATGAGAGCAATTCGCCTAATTAATGTAATTATAACACTTTTAAATGCACGATATATTCCTAAAACGGATATATTTTAATGACCATTCACGACTTTATATTGATGGTGTTAAAGGCTGGGTTTATTCCCCATGTCCTTTAACGAGTTGTACCGTGCATTAGAAAGTGTGCGGTTGTTTCGTTCGGTTTCGGGAGTGCGGCGGCCTTCCTATCATCTCTTTCTCCTCTCCAGTCACCCTTACGATTAACTAGTATACGCATGCCTTAATCTAAAGAGTAAAATTAAATTTTGATCCAAACTCTAACACCTAACGAAACTAAATACAAATTCATACAATTTTTAACATCCTATACTTTAGATAGATGGGTGTTACCCGTCTTTTTATATCCCTTGAAGGAGACAAGATTTTAGGCTAGTCCAACCGAGATTTGTTTATTTATAATACAATAATTACCGCCAAATATGGCAGGATACGAAGTATTGTTCAAAATTGTTTTATTACTCATATTAAAGGTTACATTGACTATGTATTCTAATCTTTTTTATTTATTTTGACAGATAAGTTTGACTTATAACCTCAAGTCCGAACTAAACATCTTAAAAGCAAGTCCTTCTCTATTCGCGCAATTATACGCGGTTATATCACAGCCAAATCCGCCGCCGCACGCCTTCCTGCCGTCCGAAGACCCAACAATGTCGCCGTACTAAACTGGACACAATAATACCGGGACTCAGACATTTTGGAAACCTCCAAATATTATCTTATAATAACATTATTTAATAATCCGAAATATGACATCGGAATGTCCGGTCGCGGCCGAAGTAATGATACATTTTAAAGTTTTATTGTTACAAGCCACACGTAAAATTGGAATACGAGTATTTCATAGCGAGGCGAAACATTTTTTAGTTTTAATATAGGACACTTGTTGACTGTTTGGTCAGCAATATATTGTTATTGTTGCTGTCTGGTTGTCATGGCAACCGTTTCTAAGTCATATAGGACTGTTTATAGCCTTATACCGTAGTATAAACTTACGACCAATATTACAACTTGCGTCACCGCAATCTTCACAAATCAATGTCAGTCTTAGAACAACCTCGTCCCGTTCACAAGTTGAAGAAGTTTGTTAGAAGATGTATTTTATGGACGTCTAGACAAGTGCCTTACAAAAAAAAATCATATCAAAAAACAGCGATTAAATTAAAAGAATTTTACAAATCAACTTCCCCCTACAAGTTCGCTGGCTAAACTATTTAGTTTCTAAACTATTCGTAGTATATTTATACTTAAAACCTTCGACTTACGAATCCATTGATATAAATCCCATGATCATCTGTTTAGTATTCTTTGAATTCACCGCGAACAGATACACGAACTCGACAAGAACAATATTTTTATATTGCGCCATGAATCATTGTTTAAATCAAATCAAAACCTAGACATTTGTCTAGACACCCGTTCTTTTCATACATAATATATTTTTATCAGGTTTTTACTGTGTATTGTAAGACTTCAGAAGTTTTTGCAGAAGAAAAAGACCTCAGTCCTATGCTCCACAACCCATTTAGGACCACATAACGAAGATTAAATTCAATACTATATAAAATCTAGCTGTCTAGCATATTGAAAATACTACCATTATGTACTAATCTAAACAATTTTTTTAGTCTGTTCGTTTATTAAGTGAACGGGATCTTTCAGTTTATTTGATCACGAAAACTGTTATGGAGCGGGGATAACCGTCAATACTATACTTCACGAGATACGTAACGTAATTCACCCAAAAATAGCAATTAAAATTGTCTTTATGCAAGAATCTGACGATTTTATTGATCGACGATTGTTACGAATACTGTAGTTCCAGAAATTTTGTTAAACAATCAAGTACCTGAATATTATGTTTGTTTAGGCTTTTTAATAAATGACGATATCACCCGCCCATTAATTTAGATAAGAACAAGAACGATGGTATTATTGCAACGATATTATTCGCAATAATTGACCAACATTAAAATGCCTCAGCATTGCAAAATTATTCCGCTATTCATGAGCTAATTGCTAGCAAAATTACCTATTGTTTCTCAATGTAAAAGTTATACAATCATTTCAAATATCTAATGGATAAGACAAGACTAATGCCCGTTTTCAGGAACCTCCTTATAAAATGTATAAAATCCCCTATGCTACGATACGTGACACTTAACAGCATTTCGGTAAAGTCGGAGCTAAAGGTAAGGGCTTAGTTTAGGCGCTCCCTCACGCTAAGTAACTCTTAGTTAAGAGATAGTTTAGGATTGATTCGTGTAAACGGCCATTCGTCCGCTAACTACATTAGTAATTTGGAAAACAATGACTTGTTTGATAGCACAATCTGTTCATTGATAAAAACGTCGAAAAATGTATATCTACGAATGAAAAATCAACTGATTTTAATGATAAAATCAAGTATGAAAGCAGAACAATAAGCTTTGCATTATAATATGGATTTTACGCGATTGTGTTGACATTTTGCATGGTGAGCTAAGTTCCGTTGATTGCACGCACTTTTACCTCTTAAAACTGTACAAATTAGGCGAGTAGTTATTATAATTCCTGGCACGAACGATGGCCAGATTTTGTTGTTGAAGGCAAATTCGTGCATTATGTATTTTCCCATCATTCTTCATATTAACTTCAGTATCAAATAACTTTTCCTACGTTAACCTTTTTCCAACCAAACAATGGCATAACAATATAATAAAATAATACATAATACGCGAACTTGTAACGGACACATCACTCTATACAATCCAGTATATCATGATTTCCCTTTGTACAATGTTTCCGCAAATTCAATTACTTTATACTGGTTTTGCATAGCTTGATTTGTACCTGTGTCTACCTCCGACCAGAGACGGATTTAACATAGAAAGCGCCCTAGGCATGCACACTACAGGCAATTGAGTACACGCATCTTACGATGCCCCCCTGTAAACTGGCGCCTTAGGCCTTGTTTTCCTTAGGGAAAATACGACTCTGCCTCCGACAGTGGCAAAACCTGACTATTGTTCACGGCAGGGATTATAATTAGAGGTATAAATGCGTGTTTACCTACATCCTTGTATCGTTTATATTGTCTGCATAGAGTTTGATTGTCGATGCTTCGTCAGCCGGCGGGGTATGGGTCACTGTCAGTTGTTCTTGTCGATGTTGTGAATCACCCAGTTGAATGACGTCCAACCATTCTTCATTGCTTCGTTGAACTTCTGCCTAAAATGCTCCATCGCTTTCTCTTCCGATAGATCCATTACCTGTGTTTCATGGTTGTTGTTAGAAGTTTTCTTATAAACAGTTTCTTAACTCTAAGTAAAAGTCCCCTTTTCTTGATAATATAACTTTGATACCCCGAAAGAGAAGGGTGGCATATTTCGTAGTAAAACAGGGTGATTCATTACTTCGAAAAGGGGAGCAGATTGCTATAACTGATAGGCGACTAAATAACAAGACTTTAACGATTCCATCGACAGATATTGCAAAAACTTCAACATCACATAAAATTCTGTGTAGGTCCAATAATATCACATAACTAGCTACTTCCGCGCGGTTTCACACGCTCTGCTCAGTTCCTATTGGTCGTAACGTGATGTTTTATTGCCTATATACTCGATAAATACACTATCCAACACAAAAAGAATTATTCAAATCAGACTTGTAGTTACGGAGATTAGCGAGACTGCCTCGTTGGCCGAGTGGTCCCAAGTACGACTGCCGGACAAGGGGTCTCGGGTTCGATTCCCGGGTCGGGCAAAGTATTACTGGGTTTTTAAAGACCTCAGTAGTAGCACGAAGTCTGGAAATGTACCCGGTATATGGCAATAGGCTCACCCCCTATTTCATGGGACTCATAACATAAATAGTGAAAAGTGGGTGTTACATTGTACAGTGGCATTAAGTGCCGTAATGTGCACCTCTGCCTACCCCTTCGGGAATAAAAGGCGTGATGTTATGTTATGTTACGTGGTAAAAAGTAATTGGTCTGCAAATAAACAAATATACTTACTAAAGTTTCACGTAAATATTGGAGATCCTTTTCTGAGCTGAGTTCGGGCAGTCCGGTGGACATCATCATTGAGAACAGTGACAGTATCAGGTGCCCGTGCTTACGGAGTATTGTAAACGCCTGGACACAAACATGAAATTATCATTACTAATATTACTTTCTAGTACAGTTTTAATTTCAATATTATCTCAGTTACAACTTCAATGCTTAATTACAATTCTTCAAGCCAAAATTAATTGTTTCAACATCACTAAGGTGTTTCCATTATTTTATTTAAAAAATGGTCATTAATGATTAGGTATTAGGTTTTCGTTATATGGTTATTATTTGTTTGCAGTATTGTTACAAATAGATACAAGAACCAGTCTCAGCCTAACTTAGAGTCAAAATAGACAACGTATTTGGCGATAGTCTTAACCTCTCATATGTCGATATATGAGTCACAATAGAATACGCATTGTGTCTCGCGGAGATCTACGTTCCGACATACCAGAGGTTAATAATAAAAAAAACTCCGAATGTTGATATTTTTTTACCACCAAAGAGCTCATTCCTCACCTTTTCGCAATGTTCCCTAAATATCTTGAAGTCGATGGGCAGTTTGTCCCCGGAGCCCTTCTGTCCCTTGTTGATGACGTGTATGAAGTCGTGGGTGAGCACGAACGGCGCCCTCTCTCGCTTGAACCCGTACCATTGTTTGAAGTGACCCAGGAAATGACCGAAGTCTATGTGAAATAGCTGTTGGAAAAAAATTGTGTAAAAGTAAAAATTATTTCATCAATACCACCACACCATAACAACAACATAATATCACACCTTGGTATAAAACATCAACTTAAAAATCTCTCACTTTGTTATCTCCAAGTTGGTAGGTGTAGGCAGGGAGATATTTACATTATTTACACATAACAATCACTTTTCACTAGAGTAAATGACCCTGTTGCCATACACCAGGTATAATTTCAAACTCCATACTATCACTACATTTTCCAAAAACAAATGACACCCAGAAATCGAATCCAAGACCTCTTTATCTGTACAATACACTTGCGACCACTCAAACAACAACCCTACTTAGTCGCTAAATAAAATAATTACTAATAAGGAATATTCCACTAACCTGGCCATTGGTTTTGACCATGATATTGTCTGGATGTCTATCGGCGATGCCCAGTACATACGTGGCCACGCAGTATCCGGCGCAGCTCATTGTAAACTCATTCACCGCCTTGTTGAACGCCACCTCGTTGTTCTCCGTGTTTCGTCTTAACCATTCTGTTTGAAAATTAAAATATATAATTATATTAGTTACTATTTTAATACCATGGCTTTGAATTTTATAATTGATCATAGTGACTAGAGTATTTGAAATATACAAATCAACTTTACTGTTTACGAAATAAAGATTATTATTAAAGTAGCGAATAGTGATGTAACAACTGAGATTCACTGAATAACTAACCATAGTTATGCTATTAGGACACCAGTCCTAATAGCATAACCTTGCAAAGATCCTTTATGTGCCACAACAATTAACAGGTGATAGCATTTAATTACTACATGGTCCGTAAATCAAAGTGTAAAAATCGGATGAGACTATCGTCCAATATATTTTGCACTTAAAGATGCCTGTGTCCAGTGACGAAATCATAATCATCATGGATTGTTGTAGTAGGACCCCACTGATCCCCAAACTACCACCTATCTTAAGCATTGCGCCGGTACGATGATGGGCGAGGGAGAAGATGTTTCACGTCGGGGAAAGAAGTGGGTGGGTTCTTCTATCTATCTTATGGCCCGACGGCAGCCCAATAAAATAAATTATAAAACCAATGTTTTTCCCATTACTATGAATGACTTCCAGATTTACCGGTGGGATGCAACCTGCATTCCTGCTATCACAACTATAACTACTTAATAAACAAATTACACATAATACTCACGTAATAACGTAGACTTATAAATAGTGGATGCGGCATTGAAGAGCGAGCTCTGTTTCTGTATATTGGCGACAGTGGCCGCGTCCTCCACCACCTCGATCATTCCTACCGCGTACTCCATCGAGATGCAGTTGTAGGGGATCATTCTACGAAATATCAGAAGATATTAGTGTTGTTAATATGGTATATAACTATATAAATACATAAGGCGGACTTTAGTCTTATTTAACAACAAGTGTAGGTACTTTAAAAAAGGTACCCTTAACCGACGAAAAGATTGATGACTGTTGATGAAACGAAAGAGGTATGTAGGAATTGTAGTAATTGGCGTTCCATAGTCTCTAGCTACCCCCATGGAAGACAGGCGTGAAGTTTTAATCATAATTAATTTTATTTATGTTAAGTTATATAATTCTACAATTGATGTCAGAGATTGTTTAAGATACATATTTACTAAAAGCATAGTATTAAAGATAAGCTTAAAAAATAACAAAAACAGAAAAATGTTGATCATGGTCAATAAGTATTTATAGAAGAAATTATGGACTTTACATTATTATTCCATACTAGTCTCCAAGTAATTAAGATGAAGATTAACATTATTAGGTATTTTAAAACTATCACTAAAGTAAAGTAAGAAGGTTCACAAACTCCATTAACTACTCTAACTTAATAGTCATAGGAATTGGGTAGTTTCCAGGGTATCTATCAAAATTAAAAATCTAATGAGTCCGTCAGACAGATAATGAAAAAATATTAGACACGTATTTTTTTATTTTCTCGTATTAAGTTGCAATACTTAGATTAAATGGCGCTAAGTTTAGGAGTGGGAGGTCTTTCCGTCATAACGTGCTACAAAATGTGGCACGCTGTGACGTCACACGATATTTCAAATTGTTATATCGTCGAAAGTATTTAATTTTGTGAGAAAAGAAAAAATACGTGTCTAAAGTTTTAAATTTAGGAAACTACCCTACTGCGGACTACTTTTGTTAGAAAATAAAAACCAAATATAGTATCAAATCCATACCTAAAATCATAACCATGATTCTTCCACAGCCTGTCCATGATCCTCAACATTTGCAGCGTGAACATGTCCTGTCTTAGATCGTCTCCTATCTTCAGTATAATGCTAATGTCTGAGCCGGTGGGGTCTGCGTTCTCGAACTTAAGCTTCAACGGCCTCATTTTGCTGTCCATAACGCGACATTCATCAGGCCTGGGGGTTTAGAGAAGTGCGTGTTAGATAATGGAAGATAAAGTTGTGATTTTTGGTTGTAGAATGTGAATTTAAGTTTGGTAGTATACAGTGTATTTATGATTAAAATGTTCTTTATTTTGCGGTGGTAGGGTAAACGAGAGACGTATTATAGATGGATATTAAGTAATCGATTATTTGTAAGTAAAGGATTTTTAGATGTACAACTCTTATTTTTTTTTGTATATTTGATGGGCCGACGTTTGACCACTATCTCGCCTCTGGTAAGCGATGATACGATGTCTACGATGGAATGATACGATGTATACTTTATTTGTAGCTTTTTTTTATAAAACTCTTTATCATTTCTTCTCTGGTATCTATCTATGTTACTCATCTTGTATTAATTAATATGTTAGATAACATCTTTCGTTTAACTTACCACCCTAGACAGAACTATCTCAAAATAGAAGACAAAGTTTGTTTAATTGTTCATTGTCGACATAATTCATTCATATCGTCTACATTTACATCTACATCAACTTTTCAGTCATGTTTTGTTTAACGTAAAGCAATTTTATACACTTTAAAAGAAGCTTATTTTTAGAAGATTCTCCTTGGTAACTTTTAATCTTTTTGATTCCACTTACTTGATTCTCTTGCAAACAAAACTAGGGTTAAGCGGCGAGACAAAATCACAGAGAGTTTCGAGGCAGTGCTGCTCTTGTAGGTGGTGGATGAGGGCGGCCCGCGCTTGCTTTATTTCCTTCTTCTTCCGAACGCACTGGGACGCCCCTAACACAGTCAAAGTATTGATCACACAACTGTTTATATAAGATCAATGGAGGATATACTTGATGATAAGGTAGTATAGAAAAAATGGTATAATTTTTTTCAATATTAAGTCCAATTACATTGTCTTGTGACTGGTATCGAACCCAGTACTGATGCTAGCGACAGCTAGGCTAAATATTTGATGTTTTCATTAATTTTGTATGTATTGATAACCAATACACCAATATAAGTATTTTTTTTTAAATAATCAATGCTGATAGCTGTTACTGGTGACGGCTAACCACTAACTCCATTATAGACCTTATTTCCGATGTTTAGAGACTACTTTTGTATGAACAAATTATTATACGATATACGATTTAATAAATGCACAAAAAATCAACACCTCATTTATATTCCAGCAAAGAAAGCTCACAAAGCTCCAGCAGTGCATACAATACTTACATTTTAGTTTGTCTAGACACGTGATCTGCCGCGACAGGCTGTTGATATGGTCCTGACACCCGCGGCAGTACGCCTCCAGTAGTAGACCGAACCGCACTGATACTGACGCCACGTGCATCTCCGACCTGATGTGATAAAATAAAGATGGTTTTTAGAAAGTAACTAATATAAGATGACACGACAATAAACACAACGATATAGGGTTCGTATATTAAACTGCGTTGCGATGTCGCATCGCAAAAATGTGCGAGCTCCCTCTACGCATCGCAAGAACTTGCGAATTGATGTCCATCGCGCATCAAAATCTTATCTTCCCAAAATCTTCTTTGTTTTTTTTGTCCTGTATCTCCTAAGCAATAACAGAAGTGCACACTTCTTTTTACGATCCATGTCACGACCTAATTTTCAATTGAAAATACGTTTAGTACGGTCGTCGAAGGAATGGTCACCCTGGGAGACGCCTTGTAGCACGAAATCGCATCGCAGCGTTGTTTTGTGTACGAGCCCTAAAAGTTCTAATGCTGTTTTTATATTTACGCTACCCATTTATTAGTGGTAAACCGTGTATTAGAGAGAATGCCTATAGCTATTATCTGTGCACGCTTCCAGTTTTATAAATTTGATTTGCAGCCAGTTGCCCAGCCACTACGCCAACCGTGCAGTCTATATTTTTGTATTTTATTAAATACTAGCTTTTACCCGCGGCTTCGCTCGCGTCACAAAATGATAAAAAGTAGCTTATATGACATATACCAATACACGCAGCGCCATCTATACTAATAATTTAGTATTTCCTCGAGAATATCAAATTTTTCCAGGATAAAAAGTACCCTATTATTTAATCCAGACTTCTAACTGTACATCTGCAAAAATTCAAAGCAATCGGTTTAGTAGTTACGGCGTGAAAGCGGAACAAACAAACAAACTCACTTTCCCATTTATAATATTAGTAAGGATTACTGTATGTAAATGTTTAGTAAAGTTAAAAGCTTTTATGACGGCCGCATATCTTAAACAAAAAGCATTGCAATATAACCTTAAATGCCAAAAGAGGTAGTGTCCGATGGTCATATTCTTGAACGCCCTCTTGAGCAGGAACACGGAGAGGTCACACATGAGGTACGACTCGTGCTTCAGTGCTTGGACCAGCTGCAGCAGGTACAGGAGGAGGTCGTTGTCACTGCGGGGAGAGGAGAAGAATAATATAAATAAATAGATCTGGACACGTCTAAAACTGCTTGTATCGAGAGAATACCAAAGATAGTTTGTTTTAGATGTAGGGTAATTATATTTGTTAATACGGTATTTACCTATAAGTATTTGTTACACTTATTGTAAAAAACTCACATTTGTATTTTGACAATTGTATTGGTAAATCAATACATAGTATAAAACAAAGTCGCTTTCGCTGTATGTCCGTATGTATGCTTAGATCTTTAAAACTACGCAACGGATTTTGATGCGGTTTTTTTTAATAGATAGAGTGATTCTTAAGGAAGGTTTGTATGTATAATACATGCATATTGCACCCGTGCGAAGCCGGGGCGGGTCGCTAGTTATAAATAAATAAATGAATAGCGTTATTGCCATATGATTATTTTAATTTCATGTAAATACTAAACTTATGAAAAGTTTCGTTTAAAAAGTTTTACTTTAAAGGTGCGACATGTTTTTAATAGGTTGCCAGTAATTTTCCACCCCTGTCATCTACATTGAGAATATTGATACTCCACTGAGCTAGAGGGTGGCTTTATATTTACAGTCAACATCTGCAATTTATTTTATTTCAAAGTCTTTCTTGAAAGAAGAGACCTTTGCCAAGTAGTGGACATCTTCTGACTGTTTTGTTTGTTTTATATAAAAAAAATATTAAAATAAGTAGGTATATACAAATTTAAAAACTAACTATACTAAGTCACAATTCCGTTTTCACATAAGAACACTTACAGGCTATGTAAGCTTTTTTAAGCATTTTGTAATAATAAGAAATATGTGCTGATTGAAACCTTGAATCACTTAAATCAATAATGTTATACGTATGAAATCATTGTAAAGATCTTCTGATTGATAATGTTGAATAGAGTAGTATTGCGTCACCTGATCTTCCCGAGGCACTTGACGGCGAAGCTCCGCACGGCGCAGTCTGCGTATGCGTAGTCGAGCAGCTCGAGCGCGGCCTCGACCTGCAGCAGCGGCCAGGCGGCCAGCAGGCGCCGCACGGCCGTCGCCTCGCCGCGCTCGCCCCACTCCACGCACGACAGCAGCTTCGGCAGCAGCTGCGGGGCCTCCGACCGGAACCGCTCCCTGTCGGCACGGACTTATACCGTTACTACCGGACCCGGGTAACTGCATACCGCCCAAACATTTTTTTAAACGGTACGAAGTTGTCATATTTTAAACCTTCCCTCAACTTCCACGAACATTTCAAGACCAAAATTAACCTAATCGATTCAGCCGTTCTCGAGTTATAACGAGACTTATTATTCATTTTATTTATGTAGATATTACTTATTTTTCTTAAACACAAAATAAAAGTTACCCCACACTAGGATTTTCTCTTGTGTCGTGGGTATGTAAACAAACATACAAATTCACATACACATCACACTCAAACCCAAACAACAATTTATGAATCACACAAATAATTGTTTCGTGCGAGAATCGAATCCGCGACACATTGCGCGGCGGCAACCGGTTGCCCAGCCACCACACCAACCGTGCAGTTAAAGTTAGCACATGGCAACACAATTAAAAAATGTTGAAATGATTTTTTATATGAAAACATGGACAACTGTCCATAAAACTAAACAGACACTCCATGCTTTCTATTAAAAACAGAGATATATCTAAAGATCTTAGATTTTAATTCGACTATTAATTTCGACCACTAATTGAATAACAAAGAAGTAACATTTTAACATTAGCACGACTGTATTTATACAAAACCTACTGCAACTATCTACATACTTACATAAAAAAGATAACTGTAACTCACCTCGAAGCCCAGATGTCTTTCTTGTCCTGCTCGTGCATTTCATACATGGGGTCTTTCTCGGCAGTAGCCCGTAGTCTGTCGTACTCCCTGCTGAGCCTCTCCATGACCTCGGGCGACACTGTCTCGATGTTCTCCGAGTACTCCCGCACCGTCTCCTCTTTCGGAAATAACACTGGGTATTGGCAGTCGTAACTGGAATGATAAGACGTAAATATTAGTTTATTATTTTTCTACAACATCACATTTTAACATTCAAAGTGAAAGTGAGTTTACTATTCTTGTCATTTCCTTTTAATGATACTGTAGAAATACTGACACATATAAAGGAGCAGTAATCAATACGAAAAAGTGTTTTAGCGAGTCATCAAAAAGAAGAGGTGTCTATGAATGTGCTAAACCCGTTTTCTACAGATTTCTAGTAATAAAACTGGCAACCTCTTTGCACGAATAAATAGGAAGTAGTCTTCAACCAACACTTACTTAGAAAACTTGACCTGTAGAGCGGCACAGGACTCTCTGAACCCAGATATAGGGTTAGAGACCACTGTCCCAAGTGGATGTAGGACGAGGTCGTCTCCCTGGGTGTCATCCGCCACGTGTGTCCACATGGACAGCGTCACACCGTCTGTGCGGAGTTGTTCCTTGTAGTCGAACACCATCGTGTTCGCCCATGTCAGTCTATTTATTACCTCCTGTAATACACACACATGAGTATAAATAACGTTGCATTATTATATACAGTATTTCTTGGAATCTATAATTGCATTACGCAAGAAGCAGTGGCAATATGATCCTTCCTTGTCCTTTCTCATTTTTTATATTGTTAAGTGGATAAAAAATTTCAATGGATTCGAATGAAAGTGGAATTGATTCATTCAGAAATTTCCCTTAAATATTATACTTTTCAAAGAACTACTTGTATCACATTACGTTTTACAATGTTACCGTTTCGAGTCTAGATCATATTTTACTTCGATCAGACGGGCAATATATAATTTACAATAAAAGATATACATGCCTTCCCCTTCTTCTTGCTCTTAGTCTTAGAGATCTCGTAGACGCCGAAGCAGATCCTGGCCATCCGTGGTATGTTGGACACTTTGATGGGGAACGTCAGTTCCTCGTCCCACACCGCCGTGCCGTCTGTCATCACTGCCGGCTTCGTCTTTTGCGTTTCACATAGAGGCCGGCCGCCGTGAAAGATACCGGCTTGGCATATCACCTGCAATGTAAAATAAAAGGATATATTAGGAAAATATCGATATTTTTTTTTGTTTCCCAAGTGTTATAGGTGAATCCATTGTCATGATTTAAGGGTGATCTTATTATAATTGTGGCTTTAACCTAACTTAAAACTTCAACATTGTGTTTTTTTTAAGGGGCAAAAATCATCGAATGACTTTTCCCGCCCGGGCGTGGCGGGAGGGAGTGTCAGACTGTTATTGACAAAAAACCACCCCGTTCTTACTCCTGCCCTTCGAGCCGGAGCCTCGGTAACCCGTTAAGTCTTCCGCGGAATCATCATGTGTAGTGAACTGTTGAGATACCAAGATTGTATGATTACCCCTCAGATGCATAAATGAGCTTCGAAAAAGTATGAGAAATGAGAATAATTTACTTCTATACCGCTCTTCAACAACTCTCAAAATTCTATTAATTAACAGGGTAAGTACTTACAGTTGCACCATTCCCAGGGTCGACGTTAAGTTTGCTAACGCTCTGCACCACGCAAGAGTATTCTTTATGAATATTCCACGAAGATTCATTTTTCTTCCGTCGCATCGTGTTCGAATGCTCTGACGTCAGTCGTCTACGCTCGGGCAGGCAGTATGGGTAGTAGGGGAGGTCTCGACTTACTGTTTTAGGTAAATAAGAAAATAAATGAATACGTGTCTCATTTGAAAGACTACACAAGTCAACATAATTTATACCTAATGAAGAAGAATAATAAGTACATCATGTAACGGAACAAGCATATCGCTTTCATACACGAATAAATTAATAATTGTAGTATCCATGAAATAAGACTGTAAAATCAATAAATTAAAGTCAAAACTCAAGTCAGTCAACTCAAGTTCTATAAAACACTGTCTGCAGATTACAAAAAGTCAGTAAACCTATACAAGAAATAAATCCCATAGTAAAAAAAAAACTCAGATAACAAATATTTTGAAGAAAACTTCACCAAGCAGTCTGCATATTCGCAAAAAAACAACTTAGATCACCAACTCACGCGTCAGCGGCAGTTTGTCCATGCTGACCGTCATGACCTGCGGCACTCCGTCTGTGGCCAGCATCTCCTGGATGTACAGGAACTGGATGAGCGGGTAGTCTCCGAACAGGTACTCCTCGCGCCCACACACCTTCAACACGTAGTTGTGAGGATCCTCTCCTCGCATGTTCAAGGAGTTCGCCAACCTACGGAGGATCACCTCGATGTGCTGCTGCGGTGTTCTCGTCTCTGGTACGCTTGTTGAAAATGATACCTGGAATTAAGTGAACAGAAATGTATTCGTATTAGTTAGTCAGTTTGGTTGGGCAATAACAGACGTTAAATATCGCTATCATTATCAAAATAATCGTTGAAACGTTGGTCTTGCACCTAAGTTTTATACACATACAATAAAAAATCACGGAAGACAGAAAATAGGTGGAGATCGCCAACACATCCCCTATACTTGTTATACTCTTTGGCCAACACCACCTAGTATTGCGACCGCAGTCGGCACAATCGAATAATTTTAAAAACTGAACATGTCAAAATATTGTTTGGCAAAACCTGTCATGGTATTTTTGTCAATTGTCATTTAAAATAAATACGAAAAAATGCTGAAATCTCATTTTAATTTGGTTGGGACTGACAGTGAATCAGAGGAGGAAGTAATTGAGGCGGAGGTAATAGAGGAGTCGGTGGAAGAAGAGCTCCCTCCGAGACTACTCCAGAGGTCTGAAGTTTGCACCCGACTGAGTATGCTGGGCAAGACTGCGTCCGGTGACGGGTGAGCAATAACACTAAGATGTTATTTCACTGTCTCTAAACCCCTTTTGGAATTATCTGATTTATACATATCTATGTAACTAATCCACCATCAAACAACGCTATAATAAAATGTAAATAACAGTATTCAACAAAAATAAAGCATAAAAACTATTTTATTAATCCTTGTTTCATTTTATTTCTATCTATCTGTTTGATTCGAAAAATTCAACGTATTGTTAACAGGTATACATTCTTAAAATGCAAACTAGTAGGAATGAGGATGACAAGTATCGACGCTATAAAGTGTTACAAACACATAATGTTCCTGGATGTTTCCAATAACTACCTAGACTTACATGCGCTTCAAGTTATCACACAGCTACCGAACTTAATACTCATACACGCTGACGAGAACAGACTCACCTCCGCAGGACTGAAGCAAATGAGATACTTGCAAGTCATCATTTTTAACAACAATCAAATCACATCTTTGGAGGACGTGTTCCAAGAACAATTGAGCACGTTGGAGCTTGGATTCAATAAACTAACAAAAATAGATTTCAAGCCCAAAATGCCAACTATGAGAGTTTTAGATTTACGAAATAATTTAATAACGGAAATCCCACCTTTAGAATTTCCTAGATTGGACAGTTTGTATCTAGCAGGGAATAAAATTAAGACTCTAACTGGTATAGAGCTTCTAGTCAATTTGAGAGTATTACATGTGCGGAATAATCCGATTAGGTACCTGGACGGATTTAATGAGAATCAGACGAAGCTTCAATACATCAATTTGAGGAACTGTCGTGTCACTACACTGAGACAAGTGAAGAAGATGAAGGTAATTATAATAGGTTATGCAATTGGTACATATTAGAAGGATACACGTCAATGTTTAATTTCTGTTATATTAGGTTCTTAAAGCACTTGACACCATCGTTTTGACGGGATGTCCTTATATGGGAGGAGCGGGTGAAGAGGATCCAGAGAATAAAGAGGAAGAGGACGATCCTCAAATCAGAGTCGAGTTGGTGGCGACAATGCCGCGACTGAAGAGAATCAATAAGACCGCTGTTACGTCCGAGGAAAGGTAATTTGATTAAGTTTCTTCATGTCGCACGTAATGTGTTCCTGTATAAAATTATCGGGGACCTAATCTTCTCTATTTCCAATATCTTAGATTCGCAATTCCCCAATTCCTAACCCCCAAAAGCCGGCAACGCATTTGTAACAATTATTTTGGATTTGCAAGCCCATGTGAGCCCATAGACATCGGTCTGGGCGATGCCAATTGCTTACTGTCAGGTGCAGATAAAAGCGCTATACGTTATCGCGATAAAAAGGAGCAAATGTTGGAACGGAGGATGGTGATTAGTCAGTAAAAGTCGGACACTCTCTCTTACCTCACCCAGGGCGGGAAGAGACTTGTGATAAGTGCAAATTACCAACGACAACAAAGGAAATATAGCAGTTAGCAGATTTCTAACAGTCGCCTACATTTTTCTTCTACTTCTTCAATACATGTTGATACTTTTCTTTTTCAGAGAGGAGAGTAAAGAGCTGCTGATACAGTGGGCGGAAGAAGGTGAAAAGGACGAGGAAGAAATTGAGAACGAACAGCAACAAGGAGAGGAAGAAATCTCTAATGCTGAGGATTGAATGTCATTTCATTCTAATAGGGTAGATAGATGATTCATTTTTAATGTCCGTTTTATTATTTTAAAACATAAGATACGTATTTTTTTTATTTTCATAACATAACATCACACCTTTTAAACCCGAACGGGTAGGCAGAGGTGCACACAGAAGTGACACCCACTTTTCACTATTTATGTTATGAGTCCCATGTAATAGGGGGTGAGTTTTTTATTTTCTTACGGAAACAAATACTTTCGACGATATATTGATTTGAAAAATCACGTGACGTTACTTTGAACTACTTTTTATACTCAAAAATGGCTACACTAGCTAGCCACTTCTAAACTTAGATTCGTTTTATCGAAGCATTGTTGTCTTATACGACAAAAAGTACGTGTCTAATATTTTTTCATTAGTTAAGTGACGAATTAAACATATTTTTAAATTTTCATACCCCGTCATCATCCCTATTGTTTAGACATAGTTTAATGCTTCGTTCTTAAGATTGCATAAAAGAAGATGAATGAAGCGGTTTGACAGAATCATGTCAGTTATGTTTAGATTTACCATAAAACGATTCCGATGACTGTTTTTGAGAATTTCGCATCGCATCAAATTATACAAAATCATGTCATATAGGCCTTCCGAGCGGCGGTATCTTTTATTTTAAGTGAGTAAGGGCTGATTTTTCCAACGCCACACCGATTATTATCGGAAGAATATTTGAAAATTTTTCTATGTTAAAATCAATTTTATTCCAAAGACTAGCTGAACCCGCAACTACTTCGCGTTTTTGTAAAATAAAAGTAGCCTATGTTACTCCTTAATACATTACCTATATGCCAATAAAATTCCCGTCAAATCGATCCAGCATTCCGGAGATTAGCCAGTACAAACAGCCATAAATTAAAAAAAAAATGTTATTTTAGTATGTGTATCATTCGTATCTATATTCATACGCATGTAGTAAAAAGCGTTTATTTTAATATTACAAACAGACACTCCAATTTTATTTATTTGTATAGGTAAGATGTATCTGTTGATTGAAAAATCAGCCCTTAGCAGTTATTAACACAATTAAGTCTTAAATAATATTACATACTAGCTACTTCCGCGCGGTTTCACTCGCTCTGCTCGGCGCTTATTAATCGTAGAGTGATATTTTATAGCCTATAGCCTTCCTCGATAAATGGGCTATCTAACACTGAAAGAATTTTTCGAATCGGGTCAGTAGTTTTGGAGATTAGCGCGTTCAAACAAACAAACAAAAAAAACAAACTATTCCGCTTTATAATATTAATATAGATGAGTTCTTAATTTTAACTGTAATTTCTTATGGTGTCTTAGTTATATTATAATATTAGAAGATGAATTTATTATTTTGAAGCCTACTTTTAGTTTAATATCAGACACATACACAAAAAAAAACTGCAAAAGCCATGAAAACTTTCCACAAAATAGACTAAAACAAATTGCATAATGGATTGAGATTATAAAAGTGCGATTTGTAGTAATAAAACTGTCATGGGTGCGACAGAAATGTTGAATTTATGAACTTAGGTACGCGTGGTCGAGGTATAAATAAAAATATATTATGAAAACATTGGGGTGTCATTGTCATTGCCAGTTCCCAGACGGCGACAGTTAACGTGTCTAGACGGTTTAGTTTATTTACGTATCGTACAGCTGATCAATTCCTGCTTCATTCTAGTCTAGATAGACATATTTTCAGAACAAACCCACATTGAAAATAGGTCAATATGTTTGTATGTTTTTATGAATAAAAGTCGAATAGATATTAGTGTTTTATTTTGAAATGAAGATAGTTAAGATAGTTAATACAGCTTATTAATACAATTTACTATTAATAAGCTACTCCCGCGCTCCCGTGTCATACGCTATTCGGCTCAAATTGGTCATAGCGTGATGTTTTATAGTCATCATCATTATCACCATCAACAGCCTATACCTCATATAACATATAATATATATATAACAGAGGTAATCGCCCATTGTTGAGCAAAGCCTCTTCTCACACAGAGAAGATTTGAGGTGTACATAAACTTATAATTGGAAATTATAAGCCCAGTGCCTCTAGCCAAACGCCACTTTAGCGCTTGTCTACAGAGAGAGTAGAAATCAAAATGTATGGGGATGACACTGATAAGTGTCAAAATATACGTCAATTCCATATAATATGTTTTTTTATTCTACATGTAGACAAGCGCTAAGTGGCATTTGGCTACAGCTGCTGGTTTCCTCACGATGTTTTCCTTCACCGCTTGTCAGTGGTGTCTAGATAATATTAGAAAGTACATATAACTCGGAATAAGTCACATTGATATAAATGCACTACGCAACACAAACATATTTTTCAAATCAGACCATTAGTGCATCGAAATAAACAAATAATTTTATATAGGTACTAGCCTTCACCCGCGGCTTCGCTCGCGTCACAAACGGATAAAAAGTAGCCTATGTAACATATATCAATACACACAGCGCCATCTATACCAAAACTTTTGTTTTCCCTCGGGAATATCAATTTTTTCCGGGATAAAAAGTACCCTAATATTTAATCCGGACTTCTAACTTTACGTCTGCAAAAATTCAAAGCAATCGATTTAGTGGTTACGGCGTGAAAGCGGAACAAACAAACAAACTCACTTTCCGATTTATAATATTAGTAAGGATTAAAAGAAAGGATAGAATAGTATATAGATTTCCAGGAAAACTATTCAACTAATTTACCGATTTAGCGTTGTTTTTTCCTTGTACAGCGAAAATATTTTGAAGCTTAATCATCTTTACGATTACACTTCAGTGTCGAATAACACTGATTAGTGATAAAAATTATACATTATGTTATAAGTAGATTTATTTTAACTAGTTCATGCGAAATCCGGTTATTCCGTTGAAGATTTGATAATGCCCAGGCTGCTTACGTATAGGTATCTCGGATGTTATGGATATGAAATTTCGGATACGGATATAATAATGATTATCAATACATAGTATAAAACAAAGTCGCTTTCGCTGTATGTCCGTATGTATGCTTAGATCTTTAAAACTACGCAACGGATTTTGATGCGGTTTTTTTTAATAGATAGAATGATTCTTAAGGAAGGTTTGAATGTATAATACATGCATATTGCACCCGTGCGAAGCCGGGGCGGGTCGCTAGTTATCCTATATACGGTTCGGATAATTTCGGTGACGGATATTAAAATTTTAATGAATTTCAAAAGTAAAATACAAATAGCTAATATTATGGTTTCATTTATACGTCACACTTCTATCCGATAGTATCCAAAACTTTTATTTCGGATCCGGTTATGGGTACGGATATTTTTTTATATCGGATATCCGATAGTTTCGGTTACGACTACGGAGCTCCCTAACATCCCTGATAGGTATGTAAGTAAAATGCCTGGTCAGTATCTATATGACGGTACGTTCAGATGAATGCAAATTACCTAAACGTTAAGGACCATGTCACCATGATATAAGAAGTCGCACTATCAATTAGGATTTATTCTGTAAGATGCGAATTCGAAGTCACATTCCCGCCCGTCATTGGTCAAGAATCTTGGAATGTGACTTGACTCAAGATTATCATCACAACCAATGCCATGGTGGACCAGGAATCTGCGATCGGATTTACTTCACTTTTTCGAATCGAATGTGACAGAATAGCCTAGCAGGGGTCAGTTTCTAATCAGAAAGACGTCGGTAAGGCTGTTCAGAACAAGTAACAACCCCAAGGCTTTTAAGTTAGCCTGCTATTATGTATGTAGAAATAAACATAATTTTTCATCGCTCTAGTAACCTAATGTAGGAAAATAATCATTACATCTATTATTATCTATTCCTTTCCAAAACTTAACTAGTCTAGTTACCGGTTTAACACATTCAGCGCCGGTGTACTTGATTGAGTACAGTAAAAAATTGAGAATGGTTGCATATTGTCTTGACTTATTGTTGCCATTACTGCCCGTTAATAATTTCGCTAGTTTAATTTTAGCGCTTAATGGGTTAAATAAAAAGACAACGTCCAGTGCGCCATTCCTTAGGTAGAACTCCAACAAAACGATAGGTAAACATAGCATGGCTTCTCAAATTGCACTCTTCGTAATTTCGAATTACATAAACAAGTGGAAAACTGACTGTTTCCCGTTACCCGTCATGGTGTCAACATTCTAATGAACTTAGGACTCTGCTACACACTACGACTACACATAAAAACCAGTATAAACTGACTGATGAATGTGCAGAAGAATCGTACAAAGGCAGACCATGATAAACTGGTTTTCTGCATGTTCCTGTGCATTTACTTGGAAAAACATACTTCTTACAAGTGTTTGCGACTGCCTTGTTGATATTATGGTAAGTGAGTAGGTAGGTAGACGATTACTAGGTACAGAGAATTATTTTCTATCACTTTTTTACCTTGAAATTCTCAGTTAAAACGTGGGTCAGAGGATAACAGATTCTGATGTTATGATCACTTGTTTTAACAAGAAAGAAAGAACAAAGTAGAGTTAAACAAACGGGGTAAGCTAAATAAAACATAATACCACGCCTTTTATCCCCGAAGGGGTAGGCAGAGGTGCACATTACGGCATTTAACTCGTCAAGTACCGTCATTATAGACACAATTATAGAACAATAGGTTGCGGTCACCGGTGACTGCTCGGTGTATGACAGTTTAATACCACTGTACAATGTAACACCCACTTTTCACTATTTATGTTATGAGTCCCATTCCCATGTAATAGGGGGTGAGCCTATTGCCATATTGCCATATACCGGGCACAATTCCAGACTCCGTGTTACTACTGAGAATTTTTTAAAAACCCAGTATCTAAATAATACCGTTTAAAAATAAAAATGTAGTATGATATATTTATCGATGCACATTTTTTTATAATACATATAAGAGATGATGTGGCCTAGGATGGTGCACGTCTGCCCATAAGCAACCTATCCACTCAGACAATGTTATGCATATCAATTTACAGTAGAACTATGTAGTTTATAAAATTAATTTTAAAATAAACCACTTATCACCACTTAGCAACAGTTTTAGCAATATTTAAAACTGACGAGCAACTCACTGTGGTTTTCCTCGACAGTTTCGACTTAATTCATAGTACATTTTGGGGAAAACCGCAATTGGAAAGTATATTGTCTGACTAATAGATGATAGGTTATTAATATGATACCTTAAAGGGTATTCTTTTACATTGCTGTATGCTGTGGCGAGTTATAAACCACTTGGATATATGGAAAATTCGTAATTAATGATAAAGTTTAATGTTACTGCCTCGTTGGCTGAATAGTCGCAAGTGCGACTACCCGGCAAAGGGGTCTCGGGTTCGATTCCCGGGTCAGGCAAAGTACCACGGGATTTAAAAAAAAATCTCAGTAGTAGCACGGAGTCAGGAATTGTGCCCGGTATATGGCAATAGGCTCACCCCCCATTACATGGGACTCATAACATAAACAGTGAAAAGTGAGTGTTACATTGTACAAATGTACCTCATATTCAATCAATACGTTTTTATACTCAATGTTAATAGGTAAACATTTATCCACCAACTCGTCTAATGGTAATGTGTTTTATATGAAAGAAAATTCACCGAAAGACCCAAGATTATCACTACATATTATAAAATAAAGTCTGTCTGTCTGTCCCTATGTATGCTTAGATCTTTAAAACTACGCAACGGATGTTGATGCGGTTTTTTTTTAAATAGATTGTTTTTAAGGAAGGTTAAGGTTTATACATGCATATTGCACCCGTGCGAAGCCGGGGCGGGTCGCTAGTTATTAATAAATAAAAGACAATAATTTACCTCCAAATTAGCGAATTTAGTGACAAGTAAGAAACAATGTTGTGTCAGGATTGTCCGCAGCGTGGTCGGCGTCCCGGGCTGGTCTGCAAGTCTTGGTGGGCACTGGTACCGGAGCCTCTCCAGCCTGGTGCTTTGCGCCCGACGTATTAGACTTTCCTCGGCTAGGTAACGCATCCTCATTCGAAAGTCATTCACCTCCGAACTTCGAATATTGTCGAATTCGTTGAGGCCTGATGAAGAAACAACAAAATTAATATGGTACTTAAATCTATGTATCTAATACGCTTCAGTTACTGAGCGACTGACTAACAAACTAACTGACTGACTGACTGTTTGACTAACAAACAACGAACAGAAAGTACTGGTCATAGAGAGCTAAAATTCGGCATATATATGTATATGTATATGTTTAAACCTATTAATACAAGGTGTAAACAGAACGGTCCCGAAAAACGCCGGACAGATGATGATAATAAAAAAAATTATTTTCCTAAAAGAATTAAATGTTTCTTTTACATAACGCTTATGCTCAAGACTAATGTTGCAAGAATAACACGAAAAACAAAAATGATTAATCTATACTAATATTATAAAGCTGAAGAGTGTGTTTTGTGTTTGTTTGTTTGTTTGAACGCGCTAATCTACTGGTCAGATTTCAATAATTATTTTTGTGTTGGATAGTACATTTATCGAGGAAGGTTATAGGCAAAACATCACGCTACGATCATTAGGAGCCGAGCAAAGCGAGTGCAACCGCGCGGAAGTATAGTATTGTATAAAAACAATTTCTTTTTCTCAGCATTTTGGGACGGTTATGTTTACCTCCCCGTATAAATATTAAAAACATAATTATTATGCCTAGTTTCATTGACACAAGCTAGAGATAGTTTACCCATCTATCTAACATTTTACTTCTAACAAAGATTGTAATAAGAAAACAATCATTGAATTTATTTATTTATTAAACTTTATTGCACATACAGTGAAATTGGCGGACTTAATGCCGTAAATTTAATTTAGTAACAAAACTTCTTATCATTAGACATAATATAATAAATATATCGTCATGTGAGGTTACCGGAGGCCCGATTACCCTACTTCCCTTATTAATCCCTGAATCCCCAACGATCCTCAAACTCCTAATCTCCAAAAGACCGGTAACGCACTTGTAATGGCTCTGGTGATCGAGGTGCCCATGGGCGACGTCGATGGCTTACCATCCGGTGATCGTTCTGCACGTTTACCGGCTTATGCCGTAAAAAAAATATAATCAGTAGTATGGGTTGTTACAAAATATTACAACAGATGGAAGATAACAATTACGTTTACAATCATTTAAGGTCAATAACCTTTTAACACCATGAATCATTGACCATAAGATTTGTAACGAATGTCATAATATGCACACTAATGTTATAAATAAATGTAAAAGTTTCTAAAAGCAAATCACTGTATATTTATGATGCTTTTAAATGTTATAATTTTAATTTGGAGGTCATTAACATGTGGATTAATTATTAGGTGTTAGTATAATTAGAGCCCCTTGCAACCCAAATTATGGTGATTGACAGCTATGACCTAAGAATGAAGAGCAAGCAAATCTGATTTTAAACATTAGCAGGTACATATGTACCTGCTCATAAAAATACTGGAACATCAAAATGCATATTTAATAAAAAAATACAAAATTCAAAGTTATCAAAAAAAAATCAATAAAAAATCATGAAATAAATATTCTTCCTCATAATAACTTAAGCATGACAAGCACACTATATTTAACTTATTTACCATTATCCTTAAAAATAAAACCATAGAAAAAAAAACAGGAAATTGTACGGTTCAATAAGAGGATACCGACGAAATCTCATAATACTATAAATACTCTTAGGTATTTACACTAATAGTAAACAAACCACAATAACAATAAGACCAGCCTCTTTGACGTATTTAAATGACGTGTTCAAAACATAACATCACGAATTTTATTCTCAAAGAGGTAGGCAGAGATCATACAGTAAAATACGCACTTTTTACCAATTTTTTTTTTAAGGGGGGAAAATCGTCGAATGACTGCTCCCGCCTGGGTGAGGCGGGAGGAAGTGTCAGACTCTTACTGACTAAAAACCTCCCCGTTCCTTCTCCTGCACGTCGAGCCGGAGCCCCGGTTACCCGTTAGGTTCTCCGCGACACTTTTTACCAATTACATAGCAAGTTCATGAAATTGTCTAAACAGTAAAATATCTGTAACAATAGTTTGCGATTCCTGTTACAAAGCATTGTCAAAAATCCCAGTACATAATTTATCTAATGCAGTGAACGAACAAAGCTCCATACTGTTTAGTCAAATTAAATTAATAAGTAAGAATAACACTGCGACTGCCTCGTTGGCCGAGTGGTCGTGAGTGCGACTGCCGGGCAAGGGGTCTCGGGTTCGATTCCCGGGTCGGGCAAAGTATTACTGGGTTTTTAAATATTCTCAGTAGTAGCACGGAGTCTGGAATTGTGCCTGGTAATGGCAATAGGCTCACCCCCTATTACATTGGACTCATAACATAAATAGTGAAAAGTGGGTGTTACATTGTACAGTGGTATAATGTGCACCTCTGCCTACCCCTTCGGGGATAAAAGGCGTGATGTTATGTTATGTTAATAACATTGAAGAACTTACTTTTTCCAATCAGACGGCTAATATGTGTGTTCAGCAATTGTTCTCCAGGTCTTTCATAAGATTTCTTGACTATCATAAGCACACCACATACTGGTTTTATGTCACGGATGCGCTTATTCTCATCATCAACCTCCTCAAGTACTGCGAGGGAGTTGACAAACTGGAAGACATAGCTGGACATCTCATGCAACATCCCAAACAGAGGGAAGTTGACAGCCCTGTCCCATATATCCTAAAAAGAAAGAATGAGATGTCATTTTGCATTTATAATAGAAAAATTGGCCATCCCTAATTGGGTGGCAGAACTGCAGAAGCATAAGAATGATACACACAAAATATTCATGCATAATCAACAATATCCTGCCTTTTAATCCTAAAAAGATTAAGCACGGGTGCAAATATATTATGTAACATTTATCTTTCATCAGTTACTAGCAGAATGCAAACTTAAGTTTTGCCTTAGAATTTATTTTGTCACATTAGAACCTTCTAACAACGACCAACTCAATAAAAAAGAATTAGCAAAATCGGTTCAACTGCTCTCAAAAATTGCGCATAGCAACACATTTCTATATCATTTATATTATATAATTTTTATATTACAGAATGCCCTATGTCATGTAGGATCCATTGTAATGTGTTTCGTCAGTATTATATTATTCGTATTAAAATAGGAAACATATTACCAAACCACGAGCTTCCTATAAGATTCTGAAGTATATAACATAGCTTAATTTCAAATACAAATCTCAATTAAAATAAAAACTAGTAGTTATGTACTGAGTTTTGCAGTCTAATTTGTTTTAATGGTCTTTCAATTGTAATATTTACTAAATATTTACTATAGTCGAGCCATCGCAAAGGTGCAAACTGACATAACTAATTTTAATCAGATCTCTTGCTGACACTTATGTGTCCTTTGACGAGACTGTTTGCACATTTGTAATGGCCTAACTATAGATAATTTTGATCTAGATGAAACATCGACAATTTTATTTAAAAACATGTTATGATTACAGGTAGTAGTTATCCTGTATGACTGAACTCATTATGAAATCAATTTTTGAATTGAGTTATTTGATTGTCATTACAATGCATAATAAAAGATATTAATAAGAAGATATATTCAGAAAGTTTCGCAGGAAAACTAACTTGATATGAGAGCCAAACAAAAAACAATCAAGAATATTACCTACACTTCTATAGTTATATATTTTTTAATAAGATGTATTTTTTATAGTTATAACTACAATTGTTTTTTTTTATAATTTTAGTTATTGCTATCAGGATTACGAGCCAAACTTCTATCATATTACATATTACCAAAAAATAAGTTATCCAAAAGTCATCATTATGAGATTTAATTGTTGTAATTGTCTAGTCATAGGGTGATATCATAATAATAAGTATATCAGTAAACATTGTTAACTCATGTTGTTATTCAATGCAGGGACATGAATACAATGGCATGGCACAAATACATCATCCTCTCCTCTCAGATAACAGATCATGTAAACATCATTTTCCCTAATATAATGGTACAAAAAAACAGATATTTTAGTTCACAATGAACTAAGTTACCTGTGTTGTTGGTTTTTTTAACAATAGAACAGGTAAAGGTATTCAAATGTGAATATATTGGGATAATCCAACATTTAAAATAGATTATAGGTCCTAATAGAAATTCGCAACCAATCGATGACCTAATATTTACGCAAAATACTAGAACATCGTCAGATCCACCTACATGACAAAAATTAGTGCATGATATTGTAAACATTGTAAGCTACTTTCTAAATGTACCTAACAAATGTATCTGTCGGCATGTTACTCAATACTTTGACCTACTTTCCAAAAATGCTATCAAAATATCGTCGGCGAGAGGCGTGAGTCACGCGAGGGTGTTCCTTATTGTCACTAACCTCTTTGACATCCTGGAGAGTGGCATCCCAACTTATCCTCAGAGGAATGTAAACAGAGTTCGGTAATAAACACGTGAGCTCTACCACGTCCGATGGCGAGGACGTCCAGTAGTCCCACGTAAACGGACAGCTCGGCGCAGGAACCATTGTTTTGGTATTATTTTCCCAGGTTACCCAAATTACCCCCGCGACATTTTACAAACTTTCACTGATAACTTGCGTCTACAGCGACCCGGTCGCTGTCCCCAACTGGAAATAATATACACAACACATCAGTCAATGTTGTTGAAACCACAGTGATGTTGAATCATAGCATTTCCTGGTATTTTACGACGGGCATATCGCCATTCGAAACAAAACTGTCAACTTTAATATCATCCAAACAACATCCGAACCAGTATGAAATCCTTTTATTTTATTACCTCTTCATAAAATGTTTACATAATTCATATAATAAAAGAAATGTACGAACATAAATTATTAAAATATGTTTTTGTGAAATCGTAAATAAAGATTACGTGCAACAAACTATGAGCAAAGTAATTGTTTATGGTATAGTTAATGTTGCCAATACCAATTATAGTGTGACTATGGCAAATACAAAAACAATTCTTAAACTTTATTTCAAATCTCAAAAGGCTGAAATCACCAGCGTGACTCAGGACTTGCTGACTTTCAGCCATTTCTGCCAATCTGCCAACTATAGTTTCTGGATTAGTTTTATAGGTACCTGGGTTATTTATAAAAAGTAGTTTTCAAAAATTTACCGCCATACCAATAGCGCGCAACAAATGCAGTTATATTGTATATATCAGTATCATATTGCCCTCAGTCGCCATTACGGCCTGCCTTATAATCTATAACTCTTTAGAAAAAATAATAGATGAAACAAGAAATGAAAAAGTAAAATGTGTATTTCTGAGGAAATAATTTCTACCAATCCCCACTATTGTTTTAAAGAAGTGTTCACGTTGCAAAGATGTAGATAAAAAATCATGACAAAATAAATAGCAACGATTTTATTAGTAACTAGCGACCCGCCCCGGCTTCGCACGGGTGCAATATGCATGTATTATACATGTAAACCTTCCTTAAGAATCACTCTATCTATTAAAAAAAACCGCATCAAAATCCGTTGCGTAGTTTTAAAGATCTAAGCATACATACGGACATACAGCGAAAGCGACTTTGTTTTATACTATGTATTGATACTAGCAGTCCGTCCCGGCTTCGCACGGGGTAGAATTTTTTTTTTCAAAATGAAATGTAGTGATGTAGTCTATGTTACTCGGGGATAATGTAGCTTTCCAGAGGTGAAAGAATTTTTGAAATCGGTCTAGTAGTTTCGGAGCCTATTCATTACAAACAAACAAATCTTTCCTCTTTATAATATTAGTATAGATATAGATAATGCATTTTGTATTTCGTGCGTGCGCACAGTAGCAATTGCGCTTGTCTTAAATATTGCATTTTTGATCCATTTGAAACTTTTTAATGCTGAAAACAAAATATTGAGGTTATTCTTTTTTCATACAATTTTTATGAACGCATCTTAACCTAAAAATAATTTGACATTTGTCTCGTGACAGACAATATTGGGCATTGGGCAATGTTGTTTAGCAATGAGAGCGTTTTTATGAATGTATTGTGCTAAATAAAATGTTTGAACATTCAGTCAAGGTACCAAGACATTACAAAATTGCTGCAAATATTTTTAAGAAAGTTGCTACTGAAGGCGGCAGCGTTAAGACTTTGTTGTACGACGATAAACTTCGGCATTTCGTAAGTATTCCTCCAAATTTTGTTATTTTTCTCGGGTTTTATATGTTGTACTACTATTAGTTTGTCATATTTACAGAGGACGAATGTGCTTTATGCACTGATAACAGAAACAATCAAACATGCGAGTCACATAAACAAAATATTCGAGAACTGTAAAATATTAGAGAACGAATCACGTTTAGACCCATGGCTAGCCAAAATTCTGACAGCAGAACTCCTATTCGGCAAAAAGGCTCTACCTGGCAAAAGCAAGCCGGAGCAAACAGTCCTCTCATACAAAGACCAGTTTGAGAAATTTTCATCTGAGCACAAAGACGACTTCAAGACTGAAGGTAATATTTTTTTATTCTTTTTCAGATCTAATATCAACATTAACTAAGTACAATGGCTGACCAAGGAGATGCTCCAATTTTGTCACGGCAATCAAAACAAGTGTTAATAGTATTGGCAAATCTATTTTTCTATAGTGTTGCTATGTTCACTCTACCGTTCATTGCATTTTTCGGTGTTCGCCATTTGCTGACTCTTAGTTACCCAGATAATGCATTCTTGGTGAATGTGTGGTCTGTGTCATCTTCTGTAGTGGTAGTGAACATAATCATAGGTGCTTATGTTTATAAAGCATACTATGAGAAGGAGTATGATGAAGATGGTAATGAGATAGACCAGCATGCGTACCCTCCACTGAATACTGCGGCACCTGAAGCTTCAACTGAGAAGAGCAGTTTGAACTTGAAGCATGAATGATGCATTTATGAACATTCCTTTATACATACAGTATTACACTATCTGCTTTTAACACTAAATCTTATTTAAAAACATTTGTATAACAATTGATAGGTTTACAGACAGTATGTTTTGAAACTGTGCAATGTACCAAATTGAATAGTTAGATTATAATATATTAAACTTAAAAGATAAAATATTTTGGCTTTTATTTTATCTCATTTGCATGAACTTATATCTAGGCTACTATAAGATATTTTAATAAAAATTTGGTCTCTAGTTACAAATAAAGAATTAAATTCCAGGACATGTCTGGCTAGAGAATGAATTAAGTACCAGTGTACCAAACCAATTAAAATTTCACACTTATTTTTCACTCTACATTAGCCTACATAGCATGTTCCCTTGTGCCAATTGCAATTTGATGAAACCTTTTACATTTTCACTTATTAAGGATACTTCTCTTACAATATGGCTGCACTGAAAAGCATTTACTTATCTATTTTTCTATCATTCTACTGTTACTCCGAACTATCATTAAATAGGTTGAGAAAGTTAGGTAAAGAAAGTTACAGCACATGGCAGAATTGATGAGACATCTACATCTACCGCAACGGTTGGTTTTTGTAATAGACTTATATTACAGTATTTACCCATCATAGCACTAATCTACGCTACCTTACTGACTTTCCGATTGTGTTAATTGTGATGTTATTTTGCCTATCCAGTTGCTCCCAGGCCAAGGTATGTCCGTATTAACACCAACCTTCTGACAACATCAGACGCAATCAGAGCATTCCAAGATGAAGGGTACCGCTTCATACGGTGTACTTCAGGATCCTATGCAGACTACTTGGAACAGATACAAAACCTTACGGAGGAAGATTTCACACAGGACTACCATGTGAAGACTATGTTTGTCTTCGCAGCTGGAACCAAGCTCCATGAACATGAACTCTATTTGGAAAATAAGATTATTCTGCAAGATAAGGTAAGCAAGTGATATTATAGTTGTATTGCTGTCATGCACACATATAGTGTGCACGTCGCAACATGTCTCAAACTTGTTCGTATTATGGAAAGCTTGTCTAAACCTGCACACAAACTGTATGCGTCGGCAATACATTGTTCCACGCTTATACATGAGTATGACTCATATCGTCGGAGATAAGAGCGACCAAACCGCGAGCCCAGCGATAGGAATCATCCTATTTGCGCGCCCCCCAAAACGTTAATATAAAATGACAACTCCTTGCGACGAGACATCTTCATTTCAGCTCTCAGTTGTAAAGCAAACAATGTATCATATACAATTGATTATTTTATTGGAAGTCAAATGAAATGTAAATTAGTCAATAGTTGTACAGTCTATCATAGCAGTCCTCACGCTACACATACTGGTCCTTCGAGCCAGGTTCACAGCCTGGTCACTCGAGCCAGTATTGGATGGTATGCATAAAGATATCATAACTTGTTTTTACTTCTTAAAGAGATTAGATTATCAACTTAATAACCTTGGAATAAGGTAGAAAATCCGTTTAAGTTGATATGAAATCCGCCTGGTGTAACAATCGATTTAAAATGATAATATGTTGTGCACAAACAGATAACAATCACGTAACGGTATTTACTGCACACATAAAAATAACCTTGTATGTGCCAATACCTAGCGAGGGGTACTAATTATTTTTTTTCTTTTTTTATAAACGTTGCCCCGCTCTAGGTTTTTTTCCTGTGTCGTGGGTGCTATTACAAACATACAAGTTCACATATACCTACATTACACCCAGACTCGGAACAATAATTTGTAGATCAAACAAAGAGTTGCTCCGTGCGGGAATCGAACCCGCGACACGTTGCCCAGCCACCGCACTAACTGCTTTCAACTAATCCAGACACTCAATCCTCAAATTCCTAATCCCCAAAAGGCCGGTAACGTACTTGTAACACTTCTGGTGTTTCGACTGTCCATGGGCGGCGCAGATTGCTTACCATCAGGTGATCTGTCTGCTAGTTTACATCGGCTTATTCTATAAAAAATATTCTATTCCAAAAAATACAGTCTCTTACTATCAAAATCCGAGGATCTGTTTGTATAGTGGTTTTGAAACACTCGATATTATAAAATTTCGTAACAGCCTCGAATAAAGCCACTTTTAAATGTGTTTATTCAAATTTAAAAGGTTGATAAAAAATTGATCTCTGTTGTACAAAATTTGATACCTCTTTTCATCTCTTCCACACAGGCTACTGCAATGGCAGTACATCTGCTGGCCCCTCCACCGGGCAGCGTGGTGTTGGACATGTGTGCAGCGCCGGGCATGAAGACTACACAGTTAGCTGCCTTCTTGAGAAACAATGTAAGTAAAAAAACACGTTCACTTAATTTAAAAGAATCGAATCTTTATAAGATAATATTAAGGATACACATACCTACTATTATTCGTACAGTCGTAATTAAAAAACCTAACGGGAAACCGGGGCTCCGGCTCGACGTGCAGGAGTAGGAACGGGGTGGTTTTTAGTCAGTAAGAGTCTGACACTCCCTCCCGCCTCACCCAGGCGGGAGCAGTCATTCGATGATTTTCCGCCCTTAAAAAAAAAAAATTAAAAATCTTACTCAACTGCTTATTATGCTATAGTCGTCGTCGAGTTATTCAACAAGGCCTAGGTAGTAGTTAGGTGCAAACAATACAGGCTACTTACCACCAAGCCATCAAAGTATACTATAAACAGCAGGTAGTATAAAATACTAATATTAAGCACTAATGTATAGAGTGGTATAAAAATAAAAGTAATAACTACAGCAGCAACTTAATTTCGCTCGAGTATAAAAATATTACCGCAATGTTACTGCAAAAACGGGTCATATAGAGTGGGAATTTTTTTAACATTCTTATAATATAACATTCTCTTTTTAACGTTTAAATATTACGTATATAAGCAGATTTCTTACAATTATTTACCCCATCCCCTTTGTCAGCAAAAGTAAGCAAAGATCTTACCCCCTCCCCCTTTGCTTACTTACCTTA